GGAAGGGAGCTTGAATTTTTATATCACATGTAAGAGGTATCAAAGAGTTTTGTATTACTTGAATTGCAGTGTGGGAGTGTTAATGGAAAGTATATGGATTTGGGATGTATTTTTACAGGAAGAGCCAGCAGACCTTGACAATGGATTTGCATAGGTGTGAGATGAGTAAAAGAGAAGAATCACAGATGATTTAAGGGTTGGGGCTGAAACAATTAGTTGAATGGTGGTTACTGATAGTAAGATGTGAAAACTTGGGAGAGTATGGGGCAAGTATGGGGGGATGGGAATTCACAAGTTCTATTTGAGTATAAGTTTGAAATGCCTATTAACTACTACCCAAGAGAGTCACCAGGTAAAACAGAAAAGAGAACTCACAAAAAAGCCCTTTTTTGCTTTCAGATGTAATGGTGGAATGAATGAATTCCTGCTAAAATGACCTGCTTAAAACCATTCAATTCTATTTACTTTCTTAAATTGTGATTTGTACTTTATTCAAAATAGTACTCATTTCTGATTCCTCATAAAATCAAGCAATTTCCCTTCTCCTTCTTTCTAGGTCTTCCATATGGATGATTTAGTGCTTTTCTTAAAGCTCCAATGAGCACTTTCTGTAAGACTGACATTGTGAGAGAGGATCTGGAAACTACAAAAATAAAAAGATTTTATTCTCATCCTCAAAGGGTGGGTAAGGCTTACATAACTGTAAAGAAGTGAATAGTAGATGATGGAATATTCCAGAAACACTTAGCAATATAAATTTTACTGTTAAAGGATGTTAAGATGCAGAGGAGGATGGCTAACTGGGGCTTAATTCCTTAGTGAAGAACCTAAAAGAAGGCAAGCTCTACATACATACTGGTCCTTCAGTGGAGAAAAGGCCCAACCCACAACAGGACATCTGCTGGCCTCTAACTAGTCAAATGCTCTGATTTTAGAACCTCATCTGAGCTTTGCTATCCTTCTAAGGAATGGATATAAGAGGTTAATTTAATATATCAATTTACTGATGTGTAAACTAAAGTATGTGAAGATTTAAGTGATCTCTCTAAAGTTGGCAGTGAACAGCACGGTTGGACCTAAATACTACATCTATGCAAAATGCACTTACTTATGAGTACTATACTTCCACACAGTGACTACTGAGCGCAATTTTCGTTTTTTTTTTATTCATATGTGCATACAATGCTTGGGTCATTTCTCTCCCCTGCCCCCACCCCCTCCCTTACCACCCACCCCCTTGATACCCGGCAGAAACTATTCTGCCCTTATCTCTAATTTTGTTGAAGAGAGAGTATAAGCAATAATAGGAAGGAACAAGGGTTTTTGCTGGTTGAGATAAGGATAGCTATACAGGGAGTTGACTCACATTAATTTCCTGTGCATGTGTGTTACCTTCTAGGTTAATTCTTTTTGATCTAACCTTTTCTCTAGTTCCTGGTCCCCTTTTCCTATCGGCCTCAGTTGCTTTTAAGGTATCTGCTTTAGTTTCTCTGCATTGAGGGCAACAAATGCTATCTAGTTTTTTTGGGTGTCTTCTTGCCATCATTTTAATGATCATTTAGTCATCGTTTATCATTTTAATTAAGTAACCCTTTTCAGTACCTCTCAGATAATATATTAAAACATACCATAATTATAATTATTAATAATTATTATTTTGAAACAGGGTTTCATTATGTTGCCCAGGCTGACAATTTGTAGGTTCAAGTAGTCCTCCCCACCCCCAACCTCCTGAGTAGCTGGGACTACAGCTGTGCATCACTATGTCCTATTTATTACTATTTTTGCCAAGAATAAACAAACCACAAAACAATAAAATAGAAAACAAATATACTCAGACTAAATGTAGTTTGATAAAGTCATAATGCATGGACGAGAGAAAGGAGATAAAAATACTTTTAACAAAGGAAGCATATCTCGGCAAGAAACTCAGGTTAGGAGCAAAGAAGGAAAAATCCTTCATGAGTAGTTATTAGTGATTTATGGACTTTTCTGCTTGCAGAAGTCATCATTTTCAAAGCTTAGATCAAATGCTATCTCCACCAAGTGATTCAGATGTATCAGTTATTATTCATCAGTTCTTTAGTTCAGCTTAAGCAATGCTGTGAAAGGCAAGCTCCTTCCAGGCAGCTGAAGGGAGAAAGAAGCCCCTCACCAAAAGACAGCTGATTCTCCCGTGAAACTACCAAAGTTCATTATAGACTCCTGGAATATATAGATTGAGGTTGCCTTATGATACTCCCAGGCAGGAAGGAAAAACTCTGCTACATTTAAAAAATATTTTAAATTATGATTTGGGGGACACTGGAGTTTGAACTCAGGGCCCCACACTTGCTAGGTAGGCACTCTACCACTTGAGCCAAGTCCCAGCCCTCTTTGCTTTAGTTATTTTCTCCATAGGGTCTCCAGTTCCTTCTTTCCACCCTGGGGCCTCAGAACATGATCTTCCTACCTATACTTCCTGAGTGAATTACAGGCACACCACCAGGCCTGGCCCATTCCATTTCTTTCACCAAAAATCAAGATCTACTTGATGTTATGCACCAGACAAGGAACAGAAATGAGAGATAAACAAGATGCCCTGTTTGAGGGAATATAATAGCGAAGAGTCCGAGGAAAATTAATTAATGTAAACTGTGGTAAGCACATGTCATTAGAGCAGCACAAGGTCTAAAGTCACTGTAGAATTGATTGCCTCACACCCCCCCAAACCACTGAACTCATCTGCATTGTCCCTACTCCACTCTTGCTACATATGGGTTCATTGAACACCCTACTATGCTTCTGCCTCAGGACCTTTGTACTTATATTACTTCACCAGAGTGGCTTTCCCTTTCCACTTGATATAAAATTATACCCCTTTCCTGTTAATCACTTTGCTCTGGGTCCCCTTATATCTTATTCTTCATAATCCTTAGCAACATGATATGTTTATATGTATGTTGTCTGACTCCTGGATTAGAATGAAAACTCCATGAAACGAAGGACTTCCTTTACTCATTGCTGAATGTACATAGCCTTGAAGAATTCCTGATACTTGGTAGACTTTCCATAAATATTTATTGAATACCATAAAAGGGAAGGGATGAAGTGGGATTCAGGAAAGATTTTACAAAGATGATTATATTTGAACTAAAGCTAGAAGGCAAGGAGTTGTACTTAACACAACTGGAAATAGCAGGTAGAAATAAGTTGAAAGATAAGGACAACTAACATACCTTGTTTAAATAATGTGAGATGATGTGGTATTCAGGAGTTCAAACACTTCGTTTGTGCTTCTATCCACCTTTTCCTTGTGGATTCAACTGTGGAAGTTAATTATTTACCACCCTCTGTCTTAATGAATTGAGAGCTCCTTAAGGGCAGCAGCTATGTTCTGCTCATGTCTTTATTTTCCAATCTCTTAGAGCAAAGAGTCAATGACTATTAAATAAATGAGAGAAATATATTTATCCATTGCACAGCACAAAAAATCCTTTCATTTTGTGATAATAATTACAAAATAAAAGAAATGGAGCAAAGCTTTTCCTTACTGTGTTGGAGTATCATAAGACAACCAACCACACTAAGTCTCCTCTACTTACCTCTGTATTTATTGTTCCAGGAGTCTATAATGAACTTTGGTAGTTTCATGGGAGAATCAACTGTCTTGATGAAGGGCTTCTTTCTCTCTTCAGCTGGCTGGAATGAGCTTGCCTTTTCAAGGCAATTCAAACTCCTTGAATTGATGGAGAATTGATGAACTAGAATTGATGAATGATAGCCAAGTGGCTTGAATTAAGCTTTGAAAAATGAAGATTTCTACTAAACCCAACTGATTAAAAATTTTTTTTTTCTGTTGAAAACCGAGTGTCCTGTCTGAAACCTTTAGAACTGAAAGAGATCTTACAGCTACTTAATCCAGTTTTCCCATTTTGTAGTTGAAAAAACTGAAGCATAGAGAGATTGGTTACCCAAGGTCACCTACTAGCTGATGATAGTTAAGAACTGGAATTCTATTTTCAACCCATTCTATAGATCTATATATAGAAGATATATATTCTATATATCTTCCTTGTTAGATGTGTTTTGTTTTGTTTTTTGCAGTACTGGGGCTTGAATTCAGGGCCTTCACCTTGAGCCACTCCATCAGCCCTATTTTTGTGAAGGGTTTTTTGAGATAGGGTGAACTATTTGCCAGGGCTGGCTTTGAACTGTGAACCTCCTGATCTTTACCTCCTGAATAGCTAGGATTACAGGCGTGAGCCATGGGCAACCAGCTTTAAGATGTATTTTTAAAAATGGTCTAACACAATTACCCCCAGTACAACAATAATAGAACAAAAAATAAAAAATACTTCAAAAATAAAAAGGAAACAGACCTCCTCAAGTGGCCTGAAAATTTGGCATTATTAAAATAAAAACTACTCACACTTTATATCTAGCTTGGGGAAACACTTGGGCAAATCTTCAAGAAGTCACAAGGACCTTCGTTGTAGGGTTTTTTGTTGTTTGCTTTTGGCCAAAATGAAACGTTTGAAAGTAATCTACATGTGCATTAATAGGAAAACAGCAATATTTACTTTGTTATAGCCATGCTATGGAATCTTAGAAAGCACAAAAAGAGGACCTATCTTTATATTAAAACGGGGAAAAAAAAATCTGAAGACACTGGTGAGTTAAAAAAAAAAATGCAAGCAGCAGGAGGATATACAGTACTGTGCCCTTTTAAGACTCCTCAACCTCAGATTCTCAAGTAAAATTGAACACCAGACGGAACAGCTAACCCCAGTAGAAGAGGGCAGAGGATGAGGGTGGTCTTTGATCTTGGCTGTAATACATATATGTGTATATATATATAAAACAAAGAGATTGTATTAGTCACATAATACATTAGCATATAATGCATAGTAAATAATACGCATTAGTTTTTCTTTTGCTGGCTGTTGAAATTTAACAGTAAAGATTATTTCTTCTTTATTTAATGAGAAACAGGATGGGCTGGTAACGGTTCTAGATAGATGCAACATTGTGACAAATGCCACAAAGCCTTTGGGGAGACCTTAAATACAGGTCGCCAGGAGGAAGCATCAAAGGCAGAAGGGAACAATGGCGTGGCAAAGGCAGCAGGGGCAGCGTTAGAAGGATGGGGGAGGGGAGCCCGAGCCGACGCAAGAGGCCCCCGAGAAAGCCACGCCGAAGGCAAAGCGGGATTCCATGGGGGCGGGGAAGTCAACGTTCCGCGCATGCGCAGCCGCGCTCAGGTGGCCGCCGCCGCGGAAGTGAAGCCACCTAGAGACGCCGCGCCGCTTGGGTGCTGCTGCGCGTGCGCAGGAGGACCAGTCTCGGAGTCTTCATCTTTGCCGCCTCCGCCGCCGCCTTCCCTGCATTGGAGTCTCGCGCTTTCTTCGTTCGCTCATCGGCGGGTTCGCGCCCCTCTCGCGCCCCGGGACAGCGAGGCTGGGGAAGGGGTTGGAAGGGGCTGTTGATCGTCGCCTTAACTTTGTGCGTGGGGCGGCCATGTCGGCCGGCGAGGTCGAGCGACTAGTGTCGGAGCTGAGCGGCGGGACCGGAGGGGATGAGGAGGAAGAGTGGCTGTATGGCGGTACGGAACTTCCTGTCTCTGTCTCTCTCCGGGTTCTCTCAGGCTTCCCCTCGCGGCCTCCAAACGGCCGGCGCCCCGGGCCCCTGGCGCCGCGCCCGGGGCCTCCCGTAGGATTCGGGCCTGGCCGGCTCAGGCCGAGCGCGCGTGCGCGTCCCCCCGCCCGCGGCCTGGCCTCGCCCCGCCCACGCCCCCCACCCGCACCCACTGCGCGACGCGGGCCGGCTGGGCGGGGGCCTGGCGGGGGTCTTCTCGCCCCCGCTCTCCTGTGGAGTCTCAGGTGTGTCCCATGTGTCTCTTGCCCGTGTCCATAGGGTGCCCTTCCTGCCCCTTTCAGAAAGTCATTCTGTAATACTAGATAAATAAAGTGAATGCTGTAAAACTAACGTCTTGTTTCTTGATGGTCAGTTTGTATGGAATGCACCTGCAAGGGTACCTCCTTGTCTGAAAGTCGTGCTTTAAAATAATTAATTAAAAGAAAGAGAGAGAAAGATGGAATACATTATGGCCCATAAAGAAAACCCTGAATGTCTCCTGTATTAAGGTGAAGTTTTTCTTTTTTAAGAGACTGCTCTTTAACCCACATCATAGATGTACTTCGTGACCCTTAGACTTACAGTTTTCAGTGTCATGTGTTTTTTCTCTAAATTTAATGCATCTTGTACTTTTCTTCTTGCAGGGGATTTAACTTTCATTAAGTTATAATCCCTCCTTACACCAGATTTGAAAGTTAATATTTGTTCCTTGCCTAAAATGTAAAGTCTTGACTGTTCAGGAGTAGTATAGTAAAAGTGCACGTTGGCCACCACATAGCTCCTCCATGTAACTTTGATTAACCTGTAAAAAAAAAATTCTTTGGTAGAAAGATTTAGCATTAGTACTTCTCTGAAATGTGAATGTGTGGGGTTTCTTTTACAAAGATTTGGAATCTTCAGTACCTCTTAAATTAAGCTTATTTTTATAGCAGTAAAGTCTGATTTTATTCCATAAAAGACTTATCTTGTTAAGTAATTATAAGGTGATCTAACTTTGGATATGCTTATAGGCCCATGGGACGTGCATGTGCACAGTGATTTGGCAAAGGACCTAGGTTAGTGCTTGTGATGATCACTTCAGATTTTCATAATACTGGTTTCTTTAAGCTTGCTTTATTTAGTTATTTATTTTATTTTATTTTACTTGATAGATGAAAATGAAGTTGAAAGGCCAGAAGAAGAAAATGCCAGGTTAGTGAAATTTTCTGTTGATGCTTGTACAGACTGTGTGATACAATGGTTCTTTCAACAAATTTATCAAAATTATTTCGTTATATTTAACTTCAGAGTAGAACTAAATGCGTTAAAAGGTTGTTTTTTTTTTTTTTTTGGTATTTGAAAGGTAAAAAGTATCATTTACAGACTATATATAGGGAACAAGAAATTTACTAGAAATTTTAAAACAACTTTTGCAGATAAGTACATGTCTGTGATGACTACTCTGATCAGTCTTTAGTGTTGTAAATAATGAAAGGAGGAATAGTTTAAAAAAGAAAAAAGCATTTAAGGAATACTTGGATTTTAAAAGTGGAGGAAATGTCATTTCATACACAGTAGGGTTTCTGGAATCACAAAGATAAAACAGGTATTGGTGAGGATATGGAAAAATTGGGACTCTCATACATTGCGGGTAGGGTTGTAAGATGGTGTGACTGCTTTGGAGAACAGCCTGGCACTTTCCTCAAACGGTTAAATGTAGAGTTATATAACTCAGCAGTTATCCTCATAGGTAGAGAAATGAAAAAAAATACTGTCCACACACCATTTGTACATGCATGTTCACAGCAACATCCATAATAGTAAAAAAATGGAAATAACCCACATTTTATCAACTGACTTGTGGATATATTAAAGTAGTATGCCCGTATAATGGGATGCTGTTTAGCAGTGAAAACTGAAAATTGATATATGTTATAAAAAGAATAAACCTTGGAAGCATGCTAGGTGAAAAAATGCAGTCACAAAGGACAACATATGTTGTATTATTCCATTTATGAAATGTCTGGAATAAGCAAATCCATAGAGGGAGACTAGTGGTCATGGGAAGGGGAGAATGGGAGTGATAAATATATACAAAGTTTTTTTTTTTTTTTTTTTTTTTTTTTGGTGGTACAGGCTTTGAATTGAGGGCCTTGTACCTGCTAGGCAGTTGCCCTATCTCTTGAGCCATGCCTCTGACACACAAGATTTCATTTAGGGCCATATGCATGACTGTGCATTATAGTAAGGAAGGTTACACTATGTGTTAGTACTGAAACCCATTTACTTGTACCCTTTGCATGGATGGAAGTGAATTATATCAATAAAGTTGTTATAACAACAGAAAAAGTAGAAGTAGCTTAGGAAGAGCTGAAATTGCAGTATTCTCCCCTGTTTCATTCATTACTGTGTCATCTGAAATTTAATCGTTTGGTTTTGAAATTTATGTATTCAACTCTGTTCCTAATCCTAATCTCAGTTAACCACAAAGTTGAGATTCGTATGGTTTATAGTTACAAAAATGATAAAATATTTCTCATATATATTTCTTCCATTGACCAAGACATTAGTTGATTACAGTGCATGTAGAGTTATCAAACTATTATGAGAAAAATCTTTATTACATTACTTTTTATTAGTTCCTAGCTACAATTCTCGAAGCTTCCTTTTTCATTGAACTTTTTAAAATTCTGTACACAGCTTGATAAAATTTATTAGAGATAAGCTTTCTACTACCTTTTCTGAGAGTCACTGTCAAAACTTCTTTATATTCTTTATAGAAACTTCACTTGGAGAACTATTGTGTTTGTTTTATTCCATGGGGGAAAATGTGTCTCAAAGTTTTTTTCTAGAAAAAAATTACAATTTTATCATTTCTGACATTTTATTGGTGATGAAAAATTAAAAGTTCTTAAAGAGTAGGTCTCTTGGTGCAAAGAGTTTGGCCAAGCCTCTGAGTATCTAGCTGTACATCATTGCCTTGTGCTGTCTAGGTCTATGCTGTTGAAGTTTGTCTCAACTTTTGACTGGTTGGTTCATTGCTGAAATCTCTATCATTAACCATTACATACACTGTTAACAATTCTGTTGTGTTTTTTCTATCCAAGTTTTGGCTAAACATGGTATATCAAAATTGGGTGAGGGTTTAGTGCAGCATGCACCCCCCACCCCATTCAAGCACACACAAAGAATTGTAACTTGTTTCTGGCTGCCTAGTTTACTTAAACAGGATACTGAAGAATTATAGTTTGATGTTTGTCTTGTTGAGTCAAGCATTAGAACAAGGAAAATTTAACAGTTTTTAGTTTCTATCCTTTGCTTTGGCTGGGGATGATGTTCTAAAATGCTACTTAAGAGATTAAATTATCTTACATAGAAGCTGCTTGACAAAAGTGAAGGTTAGGAGAGATGAGCAGAACTCTAATGAAAGACCTCTGAACTTTGCCAACACATGGGCATTTGTAAATGTTACTTAAATTTTCTGAGATTTGAGTCAGACTTTTTAGTTTCTTTGTGCTTTACTTTTCCTGTCTGTAAGATGAGGTGAAATTATGATTCATGAAAGAAGAAACCAGGCAGAAGCATGTACGTTAACTGTGTACTGAAAGAATTAATATGGTCAGTGTCATAAATCTAAGTTTCCCAGGCACCAAGGAGAAGAGGAAACTGTTACATAGCTATTGTAGTACAGTGGATGTTCAATAAAGATTTAGGATAAGTAAAAGTAAATAAGTGCAGCTTAGTTAAATATGTAAAGGACTTGAATTATATCCCACCATCAAATTGTAATTCATGAACAAATTGTGGACACATTTCAATTCTACATCTAAAATTTTTTTGTTTTGTTTCTTGTGGTTGATTGAACCCAGGTCTTCAGACATGCTAAGGCAAACACTGTACTGCTGAGCTATTCCCCAGCCCTACTTCTAATGTTGAGTGCTTGCTTTATGTGAAATGGTAGGAATAACAGAGTAACTCAGACAGATTGTACCATCCTTGTTCTTACCATCCATGGGAGACAGTTGAATTTAGAAAACCTTACTGGACATAGCTTAAAAAAAAGTAGCTGGGTGTCAGTGGCTCATGCCTGTAATTTTAGCAACTCAGGAGGCAGAGATAAGGAAGATCACTGTTCAAAGCCAGTTCAGGGCAAATAGTTTGAGAGACCTTATCTTGAAAAAAACCATCACAAAAAGGACTGGCAAAGTGGCTCAAGTGGTAAGAGGACCTGCCTAGTAAGCAAGAGGCCCTGAGTTCAAACTCCAGTACTGCCAAAAAAAAAAAAAGTACTACAATCTAGCTATGTCTTGAAAAGCAGTATCTTACTTGTGTACTTATTTTTGTTGTTTGTAGCGCTAATCCTCCATCTGGAATTGAAGATGAAACTGCTGAAAATGGCGTACCAAAACCGGTAACATACACATACGGCTTTGAAATCCAGTTACTTTTTGTTTTAAATATTTGTCAATAACTTCATAATTGAAGATAAAAACATTTAACATAACCTCCACTATCCTATGTGATCTTTCCTCTATATCTTCTACTTTATCTGAAAACATCAAAGGGACCATGTGTAGGACTTAGTGAGAAGGGGACCTAGTGGGAAGAGAGATTCAGAGGAAATAAGAATGTGCACAGGCTTGATGTCTATGGCTCTCAGAGAATTGATGGTTGTAGACCAACTGAATATATAAGTGAGTTTGGTTTGCAAAGCCCTACACTGAGCCCTCAACCTAAATTTGAATGTCATGGTTTTTTAGTAACCCTTTTTTAAAGTGATAATCCCTGACTTACTGTTAAACTGATGTTTTAGAAGGTTCTCTGATATTAGTATTTGATCCTGTGAAAAGAAGGCATTTATTATTCTGCAAATTTGAACTTGTATACAGGAAAGCATTTTGCTTAGATGATACCCTTGTTTCCTGTTATATAACCTACTACATAATAGCCTTTTAGAGCCATAATAAAACTTCATAAACAGCCCACTTTAATTTGAAGCCATAGAGTGTTTCCCCAACCATTTGCATGCTGGACGTCTCCTAGGATAAGTGAATGTCGAGGATAATCAACTGCTCTGTGGCCATTCAGTACTTTTTAACCTTAACACTGAATCTCACAATCATATTAGTTTTCTTTTGGCCAGGAATTTTTCAAAAATTTAAATAATTTTATCTTGTAGATAACTACATGCCTTAGATCCATTTTGCAAAATGGTCATTTATCAATTAGTAAAAAAAAATGTGACATTATTTCCTATTTATCATGTGGAACATCAAAGTTAGAAATAAGTTGAAATAAGTAACAGTATTATGAGCTTGTAGGTTTTTTCTCTATGTCTCAAAAAGCAGGAAATTTTCATTTATTAACATTAAACATTGGGATGAATTATTTAACGTATTTTATAATTGTTTGTGTTGGTGTAGAAAGTGACGGAGACGGAAGATGATAGCGATAGTGACAGTGATGATGATGAGGATGATGTCCATGTCACTATAGGAGACATTAAAACAGGAGCACCACAGTATGGGTAAGTTCCTTTTGAGTCACACTTGGGTGCCTATATCTGACTGTCAGTGGTTGCTTCCACTGTTTCTGTGTTTTCTATGTTAACATGATATAAAAGAACTTCTACTAATTTCACCAAGAAGATACGTACATCCTAAAGGTAGTTAGTAGTACATGGAAGCAACAGTTTTTGATTCCTGCATTTGAAGTATTTTTGTAAAAGGATAAACTGGTATACATTTTTGGTTAGATTTAGAAAACCTTAAATTGTAATTTGCATTTGTATTTATTATTCTATCACTTTATTACTTATCCATACCTTAGTTTAGGTTTCTAATTTTTTTGTTCAATAGAAACAATATCAAATTTCTTTCTTTTTGTTCTTCATAACTTATTTTTCATGTTAGTTAACCATTATGTTGGTTTTAAGTTTTGTCTTCCATGAACTGGACCAAGCAGATGACTAAGTGAACACAGTAGGAATCTTAAAGATTGGAAGGAAATTCGTTGAAATATGAGTTTTTATTTTGTTAATGGTGGTAGAGTTAAGAGTGTTTTTTTCCTCCCTTAAAATTGCTATATGATGCAGTTATTAAAGCTGTGCAGTAGATGCATAAAATAACTTCACTAATTTCAGTATAGTTCGTTAAGCAGCCTTATCTGGAATTGGCCAGTATATACAAAAATAATTTTGTATATTTTGCTTCTTCAGTAGAGCCATTTTTTTAAAAGTCATTTCAGGAAGCTTAAAAGTAATTCATATATTGTAATAGCTGTCTTTGCATTATAATAATGATTACCCATTCCTAAAATTTTAGGGAGCAAGGTAAAAAGACTCAGTTATTCATATTAAAAGTGAAAATCTGCCTAATGTGGTGGTGCAAACCAATAATCCTCGCTGATTAGGAGACTCACAGTTGAAGGCCAGCCTGGGCAAAAGGTTCATGAGACCCCATCTCAACCAATAAAAGCTGGATATGATGGTGTGTGTCTTTCATTCTAGCTACATGGGAAGCATAAATAGGAGAATCACAGCATAAAGTCTGGGCATAGACCCCATTTCAAAAATAAGGCTGAAAGTGTGAGGCCCTGAGTTCAACGCCAGTACTACCTTCCTCCCCATTAAAAAGGGTGGGAGTTTTAAAATTTTTTTTTTTGTGGTATAGGAATTTTGAACTCAGGGCTTTAATGCTTGCTAGGCAGGTGCCCTACCACTTGGGCCACTCTGCCACCACTTTTTTGTGTTGGGTATTTTTGAGATAGGGTCTGGTGAACCCTTTGCCTAAGGTGACTTTGAACTGCAATCCTCCTGATAGCTGCCACCTGAGTAGCTAGGCTTATAGACATGAGCCACCCGTACCTGGCTGGTTTTTGTTTTTTTGACACAGGGTTTCACTGTGTAGCCCAGGCTGGCCTCAAGCTTGTCCTGCTTCAGCCTCCCAGATATGTTAGGAGTGTAGGCCGGGGCCACCACGCCTTGCTCAAGGGCAGAAATTGTTAACGCAGTCACCCTCACTTGGGAAAGTGAACAGTGCTGGGTTTGTATACCTTTTGCACTATGATGATCATTGTATGTCTGCTAGTTTTGTTATATTAAGTTATTTGTATATGCAAGTATAAGGTAATTTAAAGCAAAAGCAATTTTTTGTTTTTTATTAACCTGGCCAATTTTGGGAATAGGAATTGCATGCAAATATTAAAACGTTCATAGACTTCCATAGTATTTTATCTGAACTTCATTGTGTATAGCACTTTTCAGTTTTATGAATTCTAGTTGTGTTTGTACAACTTTACTACCTTTAGACTCTAAACTCCTTTAGAGTAAAAACCATGGTTTATGAAATTTCCTATTCCCATTGCCTTCTGTATAGTAAGTATTCATTAAATGTTTATTGAGTAAATTGGCAGTTGTCTATGTAGATTTTTTCCCTCTCAACATTTGATTATGAAAATTCTCAGATATTCCCAAAAAAGTGAAGGAATTGACTTGTAAACATTCATTTACTCATCACTTAGATTAGGCAATCTACATTTTGCTGTGTTTCCATTGACTCATACATCCATTTATCCATGTTTTTAACCATTTGTCAATCTATTTTATGCATTTTTTTTTTCAAATGTAAGGTTCACACCTTTGTGGAGCACATAATTTGTTTAACCTCAGTTCTGAAGATACAGCCCTTGAAAACTGAAAGAAAGCCAGTTAGAAAATAAAATTTAATATATATTTACTTTGTGCACAGCATTTTCAGAAGCAGATTAAAAGAGCAAAATGTTGAAGGGACAATACTAAATTGTTTAATTTCAGGTTGTTAGAAAATACATAATAGCATTTTTTTAAGGTAACATGCTTTTCTTTCAAACTCATTTTATATACAAGTAAGGTATAAATACAAGCAAATGTTAAAATAGGAACAATGTGTCTTGTATAGGGAAGTAATTGGCTCTCTTTGAGACTCCTCTATGCATTTATTCAGTGGATGCTTTTTGTTGGGCATTGTGTGAAGTAACAAAGATAGTGTGCCTATATCAAACCATCAGCAGTTGATTCCATTGGTTTACATTTTTCTGTCTTAACCTTGTACAAAAGAACTTGTGAAAATTTCACTGTGAACATTTTTCTTTGATAAAGATAAGGTTAACTCATTAGGCAAAGTTACATGGAAATAGCAACTTTGATTTTCGAATTTATTATCTGACGATGGGAATATGAAAAATGAGTTTTTTCCCAAAAGTAGTGAAGAAGATAGATACTTCTAGTGCAACATGAGAAACAAACATAAACTTTTAAAAGCTTTGAGAAGAGTTGCTGTTATTTGCATAATACTAACTTGATTAACTGGTTGGTCATAGATGGAGACAATTAAGGATTCAGGACTTAAAGGTTTCCAGAGCAGTTAAGGTTTCTAGAGTGCATGAAGTAGTACATTAAAATAAATCTGACATATTTTTGAAGTTCTTTAGGAAACCCGTGTATATGGGATCTAGCACCTAGTATAGAGACTTCATGAGGCCCGGGACGTTATTGGGTAATAAGATACCAGATTTGCTTAAGTGCAGTTTTCCAGACAGCTAAGTATCTCTATACACAATGAATGTACAGGAATTGTGACTTAACAAGTGATGATTTAAAAGCAGAGTGAGGAATGGAAAGTAGCTGGTACGAAGCAAAGAAGCTCATTTATTGAACACTTAGAATGAAACCATTTGTTTTGCAGTTTTTAAAAAAACTTGATTTGCATATAATAGTTATACAGGAGGATACATTGTGATATTTACATACGTACTTATATCTTAGTTAGATGTATCCATCATTTTCCTCCTTCTCCCGTTCCCCTTCTTAGAACAATTTCAAATGGCTAAACCATTTATAAATACTGTTTTATCCTGTAGCAGTCCTATAGGCCGACACTTTGAAGACACTCCTTGATTTTTTTGTACACATTCTTTCAAACTAGAGCCTTTATACATTATGCTATGTATAGATATTCCTGAGCTACTTTTGCTATGTTGAACTTGGATTGTTGAAATGTAAACATGATGAGAATAAGAATCATACTTGTATAGCTCCTCATTCTCCCTCCTTAGCCTGGAACTGTATTGAAAATATTTTTGTGCTCAGTAAGCATTTGTTAAATTAATCAGTCTAAGAAAATTAAACATCACAATTTGTACTTTTTGTGTTTATAGCAGTGGAGCTATAATTGCTTGATACAATCATTTGTATATTCTTTTGCATTTGTATTTTGTTTAAAGCCAAAAAAAAAAAGTGATAGTGCTTATTGAACTAAAAATTTGATTCCTATCAATTGGAGACAAAGGATGTAAATAATAACTATATATTTGGTAATGCTGAGGCTCAAACCCACAGTCTTGCATGTGTGGCGCAAGTACTCTACCACTGAGCTACACCTCAACCCACAGATAATTAGGCAGACCAAAAGCAATGAATCTTCACAGGTCCAGTTGGCTGAACTTGTGAGGAAAAAGAACCAAATTAAATATCATGAATATAATGTGACAAACATATCATTAAAGTACTATTGTTTTGCTCAATTAGAATCATGCCTTCTTTATCCATTCTGCTCTATCCCCTTCTTCCTAACCTTCACAATAATGTTAGTTTGGTTAGTATATTTGATTTTCCTCTGATGTATAAGAATGTACTGTATAGAAAAGTAGAAAACTATAAATCATCTTTATACAAGGCTCCTGGGGTCTTAGTGACTTCGCCTAGATTACACAACTAATAGTTGATAAAACTTGTATTTGAAAATTGGTTTAACTTCATTTTTTAGAATCACATATGTATATTATATTACATTTAAAAATGCAGCTCAGTATTTTTCAATGTGTACATTTATATAACCACAACCCAAGTCAAGATATGGAGCATTATAAGTGTCCTAGAAGTTTCCCCTTTGATCTGTCTCAATTTTTAACTATCTCCCACCAGCACAGACTATTTTGCTTGTACCCTGATTCAGTTTTTAATTTCTCATAAATCAGTTCATTTTTATTTGAACAGAATGCTCTGTACTTGAAAGAGGTTCTATCAGCAATATAAAATGTGAGAAGGACTAAAGCAAGACCATTAGATTTGGCCAAAAAGATGGAGAAATTTCACTCTTGTAGGATTGCTGTATGATAAATAACTAGCAGGTGTGGAAATAAAACAAAGGCATATAAGCTAGTTTTTCCTTTCCAGCCAGATTTCTTGCGAAGTTTGTTAAAACGGGATATTGAGTTAGTAGCAGGGAGACTTGAGATGGAAACAATTAACATTTAAAATTAGTATAAACTGTTTTCTGAAATGTTTGTTTTAGTGTCATTTACTATGTGGCTGTATAAGGCACTGAATATATTCCTGTTTTATGTATTTTATGTTCTCAAGATAATTTTGTTTTGTATTTAGGAGTTACGGAACAGCACCAGTAAATCTTAACATCAAGACAGGGGGAAGAGTTTATGGAACCACAGGTAAAATTTGTATTTGTAATTGCATCAATAGGCAGAGAAGGCACATATCCTGAATAAATCACAAGTAGATTTTAGTAGTTCTTTTGATAAATAATGTTTGACCATATGTCAAAGATATCACCAAACTTTTTCTGTAGAGGGCAAGGTAGCAAGAATTGTGGACTGTTCTTGCTATTTAGTTCTTTTTGGTTTGTTTTACAGCCCTTTAAAAATGTACAACTTTTCTTCACCCACACACTGTACCAAAACCAGTGATTTAAAACATAGAAATTAACAATTTTCTGTTGGTATAAGAATCCTTTATAAGTAATATATGTAATCTTTCCATTCAGCTTTTGTTAAAATTGCATCATAAAGCTTGACTTTACATACTTTTACTTATGGTAAACATTAATACTCTGTTTGAAACTTTGCCAGTTTTTGTACCTGGAAAAGTAAAAAAGGTGTTAATGTTTTCTGTTAGTCTGTGTTATCTCCCAGCTTCTTGCTAATGTAGTTCCTTTACCATCTTAACATTTCTATAAAATAGGAACGAAAGTCAAAGGGGTAGACCTTGATGCACCTGGAAGCATTAATGGAGTTCCACTTTTGGAGGTAGATTTGGATTCTTTTGAAGATAAACCATGGCGTAAACCTGGTAAGATTATTGTACATTATATTAGCTTCAAAAGATTTTTATGAGTTGGATTCTAGTGGCTCACTTTTGTAATCCTAGCTACTCAGGACATAGATCAAGAGGATCACAGTTTGAAGCTAGTCTCAGGCAAATGGTTTGCGAGACCCTATCTTGAAAATGACCAACACACACACAAAAGAGAGCTAGTGGAATGACTCAAGTGGTAGAGCACATGCCTAGGAAAGAGTTTTAGTCATTAGAAAGTATTTTTGAGCATCAATTTAGCATATTATTTTTTTCATTCTTTTATTAGCATGTAATAGTTGTACAGGGGATACATTGTGATGTTTACATATGTGCTTACAATGTATCTTAGTTGGATTTACCCCTTCCATTTGTTCTTCCGCCTCTCCTCTTCCTGCTTTTTAGAACAACTTCAACAAGTTTCATTCTTTTATTTTCGTATATGAACAGAAAATACATCTACCATTAGAATATTGTTTTTTCAATATTGTTTTTGTTGTCCTAAACAAATGAGTGGTAAAGACTTAGATTATTAAATTTAATTAGTGGCCAAGCATTATGGTAAATGTAGACTCCATACTGCTTTTTGCTAGGCAGGGGCTCTACCACTTGAGCCATTCCGCCTGTCCTATCAAAATGTTTTATACTCTTTGCTTCATGGAGGTAATTTTTGAGAAGGGGTAGGTGGTAAGATGATAAAATTCTGAACTTACATGTTTTTACTTCATTCTAGAGTGGAAATATTTGCATTATAAAAGTATGTTTTATCTTTAGGTGCTGATCTTTCTGATTATTTTAATTATGGGTTTAATGAAGATACCTGGAAAGCTTACTGTGAAAAGCAAAAGAGGATACGAATGGGACTTGAAGTTATACCAGTTACTTCCACTACAAATAAAATTACGGTAATTAGTAAATATTCCAGAATACCCATGCCTTTTTTACTGTCCCACTTTGACTCCCCAAATAAGTCATTTTTTCCCTACAAAGGTGGTTAAATGCTACATGATAGTTAAAAAAATTTCATTCTCTTTACCATGTTTTTTCCCCTTCCCTTTCGGAGTTGCATATTAATGATTATCTTATGTTCTTAGTTTCAAGTCAGACTAGCCACAGCTAGTTTGTCTTTTTATGGCCTATTAATTAAAAATTGTGTGGTATCTTAATGGGGAATATGTTATTTAACTTAGGCCGAAGACTGTACTATGGAAGTTACACCAGGTGCAGAGATCCAAGATGGCAGATTCAATCTTTTTAAGGTGAATTTTAGTAAATTATCCTTGGTTGCTCTCATTTTTTGTTCTTGAGTCTGCTCCCATACCACTACTCAAGGGACAAATTTAAAGTGGAAAATAGCTACCTTTTTTTTCCAAACCTTCAGCTTCCTGGTGACTTACAAATTTGCTGATTGTTGTTTTATCTCCACTTTTGCAAGCATGTGAATTTATAGTCTATCATACTAACAAATGCCAAGTAAAACTGTTCTTTGCTGTATGTTGTGGTTTTATTTGAGTATTGTATATGTATGTTTGTAGGATATAAAGGTCCATGGCCACAGGTTAAACACTTGAGCATAACTCGAGTTATGCTCTAATCTTTATCAGCAGAATTGTAGGTTTATTTTTCCTAATTTTCTTTAAAAAAAAAAAAAAAAAGACCTTGAAATCATGGTGTAATGTCTCTCATAGTTCAAGATATTTTCAAGAATTTCAGGCATTCTCTGAAAGTCTTAAGAATTCAATAGAACAGGATAAAGCCATTGATTTTTACAGTTAATACTGCAAAGGGCTAGGTTTGTGTAAGGGACCTGAAGGTTGACATTACCATCTGGGCATCAAGTCTGACTTTTGGCTTCTCCATGCCATGGTTTGATCACAGCCCTAGTTGAATGCACAGTATTGTATTTTCATGCCTCTCTTTGAAATTTGGTTGGGTATTCTTTCTTTTTGTTAACAGTTGTTTCTTATGTTGAATGACACTGGGATTAGATTGGGTTATACACTCAGGGAACTTTTGTCATCTGGATATGGACCTCGGTGTCCCTTTGGGGACTGCAGCCCTGTCCACCAAAACCCTGCCTTATGCAATGCATGTGCTATATCCGCAGATGTAGCTGCTCTGCTGGACACAGCTCTGTGTAGAGAGTTTAATTTTAATTTACATCCTACTATGGGTAAGTATTTGGTTCTTGTTCTGTTGTAAAAGTTTTGAAAGTACTTGATGATAACTACCCTGTTTTAAATGGTCATCGGGGTTTTTTTGGTGACTGTCTACTTGGGCACTGATTATTTTGTTTTAGTTGATTATGGGAATAGATAGAAAAGCTGTCTTTGCAACGAACTAGTTTGTTTGCAGTGGTGCTTTTTATTTGTTTCTAATAATGAGAACTACTATTACAAGCTGTCAGCTTCTATATCCTTAATTTTTTTTATAGTAGATTTCCTTTTGGTTTTTTTTGGTGATACTGGGGTTTGAACTCAGAGTCTCATGCTTGCTAGACAGGTACTCTTACTGTTTGAGCCATACCTCCAGCCCTTATAGTAGACTTAAAGACAAAAATCTCATAGGGTCTCATTGCAGGTAGCCTTCATGATTGCGCATTACCTGCTGTCTATTGAAAAATTAGTTTTCACTTTCTTTTGATGATTTGATAGAGGTCATTGACGATCTCATTCTTACTTCCTTCTGAGTGGATAGGGGCTTGAATTTGATGGTTGAAATCTCATGGTTTGCTTGCTTTGGTAATGTGCTTATATACTAATAATATCTGTTAGAAATCCTGATTTGAGTATTGGAGATTTTAATAATGTGTGTGGCAAACTTTTACTTTGTGTATATTGTGGAAATAGGGCCATGATGAAAAAAGACCATAAACTATCTGCAAACATTTGTGGAGGTAGTGGGAAGCCATTTGAAGGTCTCTAATGGTAGGATAGCTTACAAATCTGGTTTTTAGACATAGGGGTAGACTGTAGTATATAAGGAAGATGAAAATAGGGAACTGCTGTGGTACCATAGGAGTGAAATGAACAAGGTCCTGAAATTAGTGATGAATGGGGCCTCGGAATGTAGTTAAGATTGCAGTTTAAATTCTTTTCATATCTATTGCAAAGATAGTTTTTTCTTCCTTAGTGTAGTGAGAGACAATCCATCAGCCTCTTTAAGGTAATATTTTTTACTTCACATTATATAAATTTTAAAACATGGTAACAAGTAGAATAGTACAAAAGAGGTGCTTATCACACAGCTTCAGTGGTTATCAGCATTTTCAGTCGTGATGTAATAGCGTTTTATATATTCAAATGTGGATGGATTTTTTGTTTGTATTTTTGAGATGGGCCTGCTATGTAGTCCAGGCTTGTCTCATACTTGCTTTCCTACCTCTGTCTCCCAAGTTCTGGGATTATAGGCTGTGCCATCACTCCTGACTAAGTTTTTTTTTTTTTTTTTTTTAACAAAATAAAGATTAAATTTAATTAGGTATTAAAATAAAGTCTCTCAATTGGGTGCAAAAACAATTCTGCAATAATATAATTTAGGGTGAGAAGCAGGAGAGAAGTGACTTGAGAATGGGTAATATGTATGTAAGAAAAAAATTGTCCACAACCTTTTCTTAAAATATTTTTATAACCATATGTGTACATGTGTGTGCATGTGCATAGATTTTTTTTCCCCTGTGTAGATGTTTGTATGAGCTTTGTCATTAATATTCTGCAATTACACAGTGAATGTTTCTCGGTCTGTTTTTGTCCTTTGCACCAAGCACTTGATTGTGCCCTTTTAATTTGGAAGCATATATCCTTCATTTCTGGGACACTTTTTCTTATTTCATTTCTGCTGTTACATTTTTAATTTCCAAGGAAATTTTTACTATTTAATTGTAACATTCTTTTTTGCAGTATCCCTCTTTCAAAGGATGCTAATGATACGTTGTTTGCTTCTGTTAGGTTTTCTTTTCATGCCTGATCTGTTTCTTTTAAGTAAATTTTTTTTTTAGTTTGTTGTTTTGGCTTCGGACTTGGGCAAATGTTTGTTGAATATTGACCATTTTGTCTTCTAACAGTGGGCTGCTAATAGTTGATTGGAACTTTTGGGCATTAAATAGAACTTGTTGGCTGTAGGCTTTCCTGTAAGGCTGTGCTTTTTTCTTTTCACGTATTAATATTTTTAGGTTGTTGTTTTGCTTCTTTTTTTTTTCTTTTTTTTGCAGTAATCTGATTTTTCAGAGTAGGTATTTTCAGTTTCCTTCCTAGAAGGTGTATGGCTGGCTGATTGAAATATTTTGGGAGTTTAAGATGTTAGTTCCCAAACTATTTTAGGGGTGGGGAGTCCTGCCATAATATTCAATACAACCTTTTAAAATTTTTATTTTTGGCAGTATTGGGGTTTATACTCAGGGACTTGTGCTTAGGAGTTCTGTCACTTGAGCCATGCCCTCCAGCCCTACCTGTCATAATATTCAATCAGTATCTTTGCTTTCTCATAGCTGAATTAAGATTCAGCTTTCTTTGGTCTGCTTAGTTACTATTTTCTTCATCTGCTTTCAGAATCCAAAATTTCATTGTATTCTTAATTTTTTTGTTATTGTGGGATGAAACAACATTGCAGTAATTTATTTATGGCGTTCAACTTTTACTTTTTTCTCCTAACATTATTTCATAAATGTTTTCTTTGGTTATTAACTTTTTTGATAATTATAATTTTAAATAATTGTATAATCTTTTGAATATACATACCATAATTAACAAGTTTCTTTTTTTTAAATGTTCATTATAATATTAAACTTTTTAAAATGATGCCATGGTGGATGACCAAAGGAGGTTTTAAAAAATAATTCCAAAACTTTGGGTATAGCTGAAGAAATAATTTGGATAAACATTGTTTCTCGGACTTACTGATTCAGTTAAGCTTTTTTTGAATTTGCAGTATCTGACAAGAATGTGAATTTAGGAAATCAGTTGTAATGTCTTACAGTCACTTCTTAGAATGTTGGGGTGTGTGAATCCATTATACTCTGGGCTAGACACATTTTGAGTATGAAATTCCAAATGTAACACCTGAAGACAAACATGATAGTTCAAGTTGAACAGGAAGGTTGCTAGAATTGTTTAATATATGAATGTATTATGAGAAATTAATGATAAAAGAAAAGTCAGTTATTACATGTTTAAGAATCTACCCCAATTATGGGCAATTAAAAAATTTAAAAATGCTAACATAAAATTCAGAAATTAGCATATTTTATTATTATTTTCCTCAAACACATCGGAAATATTTTCCCCTATAGTTCACCTGCATGATCTTTATCAAATTTATTGAGGCATACGTTATGTCAAATAAATTGCATCCGTTTAAAACAAACAATTTGATCAGTTTGGACAGATGTCTATCTACTGTAGCACTGTCACCATAGACACTCAACATTTCCATCACCCTCCATAGTTTCATTGTGCTCTTTTGCCATCCATGCCTCTTTCTCCCCCTGGCCACTGCTCAGGGGCTTTGTAGGAATGTTGTCAACCAGTTTGCACTTCTTTTTGTCTGTCTTCTTTTTACTCAACATATGATTTGGGGACGAATCAGTGCTGTCACGTGTACCAGGAGCATGTTGCCTTTTATAGCTGATTAGCATTATGTTGTGTGGACATGCCTCTTTTTATTTATGTACTCCCCTGTAGATGGGCATTTGAGTTGTTTCCAGTTTGTACTATTGTGAACATTTCTGTCATGAGTGAATGTTGAGTCTTCTTACTGGCTTTTTCTGCTGCTGAAATAATCATGTTGTTTGTTACTTTATTAACATCTCAAATTATAGTGATTCATTTTTCAACTTTGAATTCCTGTAATAAACCATACTTTTCTTGGTGCATTCCACATAATTACTTCTTTTAAAAAATCTATCTTC